AAGAGGCAACTTTTTCAGGCCTCCTGGGACCTGGAGCCTCCCCCGTCCTCCATCACCCCATTACTACTTTAATAAAGTGCCAGAGGTGAGTGTCCAAGGAGGGGGGGTCAGGTTCAGGATGGGCAGTTACACGACTGCAACCTGGCCAGGGGACAGGGTGACACCACAGATGACACCATGGGGATGGGGAGGTGACAAGCAGCACCTGCTGAGTGGCCTTGGCCAGATTTCTCCTCTCTGGGGCACTGGGGTGACTTCCCCTTGCCCTGCTCCCTGTAGTCTCTAAGCCATCCATACAGGCTGAGGCTTAGCTCAGCAATGGGCAGTTACACGACTGCAACCTGGCCAGGGGACAGGGTGACACCACAGATGACACCATGGGGATGGGGAGGTGACAAGCAGCACCTGCTGAGTGGCCTTGGCCAGATTTCTCCTCTCTGGGGCACTGGGGTGACTTCCCCTTGCCCTGCTCCCTGTAGTCTCTAAGCCATCCATACAGGCTGAGGCTTAGCTCAGCAGCTCCCAAGCTTCCAAGTCAAAATTGATTCAGCTGCTGCCATTGCTTCCACCCACATGCAAATAAGCCCAAATGTCAGGAGTAATCACTCTAAAGGAGGAGGGAATTTTCCCAGGCTCTGCACCACAGCGCCCAGCTGTGCCATGGCTTACCTGGAGTGAGCCAGTTCCCCAGAGACCCCCCGGCCCCCCCAGCCCCACAGGAGATAGCTGAGATACCCCCAGGGGACTGGAGGCATGTTTGGGAGCCTCTGCTGCAGAACAGCCCTGAGAAATGGGAGCCTGGGCTGAGCACCCTTGGCCCTGCTCTGGATGTGCCCATCTCCAGAACGCTGAAATACGGCCCCCGGTTTGGCCGTGGTGCTGCCAGGCTGTGGTGCTGCACCGTGCCAGCCCCCCTGCCACATCCCACCGTGCTCCAGGGTGTAAAATCATTTGCTTCGCCCCCTCCCCAGCCCAGGCAGAGCTCTCCCGGCTGCAGCAGCTTTAAATAAGCCTCTGAGTGTCTCGCTAATCACCTTGGGCTGCTCTTCAGGCAGCACTCAGCAGGGCTGGGGCTGGTGGAGGCTGTTGCAGACTCTGCACAGGGCTTGCAAGGACCCTCCCCACCCTGGGGGAGGTGGTTCCCCCTTTTCCCTCTGGGAGCCCCCCAGGAGCTGGGGTCCCCTGGTGCTGCGCCATGCCTCAGTTTCCCCACAGGAGCTGCTGGTACCAACCTTTGTGTGACAGGTCACTCCTGCCTGGGGTGGGCTCTGGGCAGACCGAGGCCGAAGGCTCATCAGCCCCCCGAGGGCAGGGGGGCTAAGCTCCCTCCTGGCACTGCTCAAAGCTGCTTAGGGGAATCAGATCGTGGGGATTTGTTCCCTAGAGTGTCCAGCTGGAGGGGTGCTGGCCAGCTTGGCTCACCCAGCATGTCCTCGGGGCAGAGGCTGCTGCCCACCCCTCCTGGTGAGTGTCCCCCACACCTCCCTAGGACCCCTCGCTGCCCTGCCAGCACCCCGAGCGATGCTCTCCTGAGTAGGGGCTGCTTGCACCCCTTGGGCAAGGGGGGTCTCCAGGCTTGGGGCTGCCAGTGCCCTGTCCCTCCCTGCTCCCTGCCCCCGTGACTGTGATTTCGGGGCCATCGCAGCCGCTGTGGCAAAGCGAATCAGACAGGGCTGCCAGGAGAGAGTAGAGAGTGAATCAGCGTGGCACTGGAGGTGCCCCGGGCACCCCATGTCAGACAAGGCAAAACAGGCTGGGTGAGGGGCCCATCCTGAGCCTCAGCACCACCTCACCGGCACCACGAGGACAAGGCAAAGCGCAGCCACCCACCCTGTGGCACAACGGCAGCTACCCCATGCCCCGGCCGGGGACCATCCCCACCGAGAAGGACAAACCCCAGCCCTCGCATCCAGGTCCCGCAGCTACCCCATGCCCAGGCCGGGCACCATCCCCATCGAGAAGGACAAACCCCAGCCGTGGCATCCAGGTCCCTGCCTGGAACCCCCCTCCGGGCACAGCCAAGCTCCCCAAGCTCACCGTCCAGCCGCCCCCGTCGGTCGTCATGTCGCAGTAGACCTGGAAGCCGGAGGGGTAGTGTGTGGGGAAGATGGAGTAAATCCCATCCTCTTGCTGCCCGCTCGTGTAGATGTCAAAGCAGTCCCGGGGCCGGGAGCCTGCGGCGTGGCATTGGGACGGGGTGGGATGGGAGGAAAGCTCGTTAATTACTGATCTCATTTCATGTCTTGCCATTTCTTTCAGGCTCTCAACCTTGCTGCTGGCTCTAGCTGGCAGCTCGACGCTGCCTTGCTCTTTCTCTGCTTTCTCCGCCAGTGCTCAGGGCGAGCGGTGCCCAGGGGGACGCAGCCACCGCGGGGACCCCCCCTGGCATCACCAAGGACTGACACCGTGTCCCCATGTGCTGGCAAGGGCAGGCTGGGGCCCGGCTGGGGACGAGGCAGCTGATGCCAGGCGGCAGCCGCAGGCAGGGGGTGGGGACGTGCTGACAGCCCCCCTACAAAAAAAAACTGACAGCCCCAGTACAGCCTTACTCAGCTTCACCTCAGCCCAGCGGTGCTGAACGTGGCTGCTGGTGCCAAGCCCCGAGCTGTCTTCTGCTCTGGGGTGCAGGTGAGCGCTCGCTTTTGGCTCTGCCCCTGCCCCAGCTGTGGCTGCGTGGGGAACGGGTTGGTCTGTGGGAGTGAAAAGTGCCTTTTGTGCAGGCTTTGCAGGCGGGCTTATAGACGTTGGGGGTGCAGGGTGAGAAACGCCCCTTCTAGGATACAACCTTCCATCTTTCTCCTGTCCCATCTCCCTGCCAGCCCCACACTGTCTTAAATCCCTTCTCCAGGGTGGTTTCACCCGTCTCAGGAGGTTTCCTCCCTCTCCTCTTAGGCTGCAGGGAGCAGCCCCGGGCACATCCCTCTCCCCCAGGGCAGGGACACCGTCTCACCGTTGGAGCAGCCCCGGGGCCGTGCTCCCCTGGCCGGCGCTCGCTGCAGGTCGGCCTTGAGCCGGGGCCGGGCACCACCACGATCCTTCTGCAGCGTGTCCAGGACGTCGCTGACGGAGCTCACCAGCCGAGCCATGTTGGTCTGGCTCTCCGAGAGCAGCTGTGGGCAGGGGACACACAGAATTGTGGTAAAATATACACAAACCCCTTCCATCCCCCAGCCCCGTGAGGATGCTCTGCCTGCTCCCATGCTCGCCAGGCACCTGCAGGCAGTGACACTCCCTGCCAGAGTACAGGCTGGTGGGGACAGATAGGGACATAAAAGCCACAGCAGATCTCATATGGCATCCCTGGTGCTTTTTGGCCTGGGGTCAGGGTCCTGACACTGCATATTGCCACTGGGGCTGAGAAAGTCCCAAATGGGTGCGTTGGTGCCACCGCCCAATCGGATAAAGAGCATCTCTGGGCAGGGAAGGGGATCATGGAGGTGGCAGGAATAGCTGTGTCCTGAGACAGCCGCCAGCTCTCCGCTGTACCCCGAGGGGACCCCCCGGGCTGGGCGAGTGACAAGGACTGGCTGTGGCAGAGCAGCAGGATGGGGAGCAGAGGGAAGCAGCAAGGACCGAGCAGCTCCAGCTGAAGGGAGCTGAGCACCAGGAGGGATGGGCACAGAGCTGAGCATCCAGCTGTGCCCCAGGTCTTCCTACAATGCCCGGCAGACCCGCGGCGTGCCCACGTAAGCATTTCAACACAGCTCATCAGCTGGGAAATTTTTGGACTGTAAATAAGGGGAGACTGATTGCTGCATGAACCACCCTTGGGATGATCCTGTGCTGTGCTCAGCTCTGGTCGGAGACCCCAGACTGGACCCAGAGCCAGGAGACCTGCAACACGGGAGGCTGTACACCCAGCACACCGGCACCAGGGCAGTTTGGCAGCAAGATGCAGGCAGCTGAAGAGCTGGAGCTGAAGTTGTGCTTCCTAATTGGCAGGTCCCAAGCCTTAAACCTCAGCTACTTCTGCTGGAGATCTCCCCTGGATACCATGGGTGGTGATTGCAAGCAGCCAAGCCCCCAGGGACATGGGGACACGGGGGGTTCTGTCCCCGAGGAGCACGGTGTGGCACTGCCAGCCCCAGCTCACCTGGATGAGCCTGCCCTGCTCTCCCTGCAGGGCGCTGAGCTCCTGCCCCATGGCGCCGTGCCCCTTCTTGAGGGCGTCGCAGTCGGCGCGCAGCTGCGCGGCCTGC